TCATTCTTCCTCTTCTCTCTCTCATTTGCCGTTCTATTTATTTAACCATGCGTTACATCCGTGACTCTATTCCCCTTTCATTTGGTGTGGCAAGGAATAAAACGTTTATTATATCACAAAATCATTTTGACATGAACAAGCAGCACACATTTTCGCAATTGTGTTTACACATCAAATTCACCAAGTACATAATGAGCCCATTGTATTATATGGTGTTGTATTTGCTCACATGCTCTGATTAATTGTAATGTAATCTTGCAATATGATTTTACAACCATAGCATTTATTGGCATCGTCGTTAAAATATTATGTAAAATGACCATTCAAAACAATTGAATTAGTATTTCCTAATTATAGCTCTAGTCAACTATAAAATGATTAAGAGATAGGTGAAATGTGATGAGAGTCATACGTCATTGTAAAGACATTTCATTTATCAGCTGTTTTTAATAAGCATCTTTTTCTTAATCTATATAACTTATTCATAAAATGTTATGGGCATCTTACAAAGCAGCTTGCATCAAATTTGTCACATCCAGAGAGCGACTTTCCACAGGAACCATGCTGATTTCCTAAAAAATAAGACACCATGGTTAATTTCAGTTGTTAAATAAACTTTTGTCAAAATGTAAAAGTTGTTGGCCTACCGATTCACTATTAGCACGGTTGACTACGTATGGTGCGAAAGAAGTTCAACGTACATATTGCTCACCCACATTACAGTGGATGAGGAGTTCTCCTGTATTCATCATCGTCATGATACTCTTTGGATCTTTCGGTAAAGTAACGTAGGTAAAAAAATAGATCACGACGCTTCGATCGCAACACAAGCGACCGTCACTTGTGTTGCGATCGAAGCGTCGTGATCTATTTTTTTTGTCAAAGTGTGACTTTACCGAAAGAACCAAAAAGTATGGATTCCTGCAGTCACGAAAGCTTCAAATCAACATCGTCATGATCTTTCCCCAGAACGCATCACCCAGTGATGAACAGCAATGTATCAGAGTGAGGATACAAAGTCCCGTACTTGAGGACGTCGTCGTGGCAAATATTAAAAGCACCATGTAAAGAAAAGCAGATATAAGCATACATGAAGACAAATCGTAAGCTATATACGTATGTATGTCAGCTGAACTTATTTCACACCGGATGTAATCCGTGATAATCGGAGGCTTAATGAAAAACATAGGGATAGCAAATGTATGCACAATATCAATTGTATGCCAAACATAATTACCAATGTTTAGATTAAAACTAAACATTTGAATGAAGGTAAACAATAAATGAAAAGTGGAAGGTATAATTGCAGTACTCTAATATTCGTCATAGACATGGCATATGTGGGGTATTGGCCAATATCTAGTTTGTACGACCTATCCATTGAGCCCAACATTGTCAATCATGAAATGTGCAGAGCACATATGAAAGACACACCTGACCTCAACTTTAGCGCCGTGTGTTAACAAGGTAATTGCATATTCTTGGTTATTTCGGTAAAGTCACGTAGAATGGGAACAATAAAATAATAAAAATATAAAACAATAAAATTATCACGACGTTTCGACTGCAACACAAGCAATCATAATCAGGTGTGAAATCCACAGCAAGAAAATTTGAAAAAAAGTGGCGTTTTTAAAATTATTTTATTGTTTCCCTTCTACATGACTTTACCGAAAGAACCAAGATTATAAATCCTTGCAGTCACGAAAGCTTTAAATCACAACGTAATTGCAGTGCAGCGTTTTAAATAAATGTAACAAAAGAACAACATGGGTGTGGAATTGTCCCTCGCTTATTACTGTTGCTGTGGACAAGCGAGGAAGGCATTTAGAAGAAAGAAGCAGCTAAACATTACTGACAATATTGATTCTGGTGCTCTCACAAGCTTTGACAAAACGCCTCGTACAAATGTATAAAGAGTGCCATGCTAATCCTTTAGTCCTCTTTGCAAACACGAGCCGAGAGAGGGCATTCAATGGAGCAATGCACCTCAAAGTTCCGGAATACAGTACTGGCCAAAACTCGCTACGTGACTTTGGAGAAGTGGCTCATGGCTTGCCTGCTCAGAGGCCACACTCGGTGTTATTTCAACACTCGCGGAAATTGCCCACAAACACCTGACTCCACCAAAGATCTGCACACTGACCACACTCCGACTTATTCTGCATTTCAGCTGGGAAGTCCACTGAGCTAAGTATCACTCGTACAGGGCATGACTAAAGCCCAAGACCGTTGGCAGTGGCAGCAGTTACAGGACATTTCGGGGGTTTAGAATGTGCAAACTAACGAGAGCAAATAGAAACAAAAATATGCACACAAAGCCCGCGTCGACTGCGACAGAGTAAACAACAGTGCTTTGAAACAAATCAAAAACAGTGTCGAAAATAATGTTAATCCTTTCACCATTCAGTAAGAGCAACCCCCCAGTTGACTTCCAAGCTGCAAGATGGCCGCGATTTTCCACAACAACAAAAATATTTCCATCATCAAATCCTTGTTTAAAGGAAGGCATACCCCCCCACACACACGCGCTATGAGGTTGCTCATAATCTGCCAAAATAAGCTGGAGTGATGGCTTGACACTCGAAGTGAATGGGGCGGACGGTGTGCTCGATATGTACTTGGGGAATGAATTTGTATTCAAAAGATTTTCGGGTTGGAGTGAACCTACAACATTACAATTGTGGGTTAATTCTTCAACACAACACTTATAATTGTGGGTTCACTCTCCAACACACCGGTACGCTGAACTAGTAACGAATTGACATGTTTTGTTTACGTGACAAACCATACTAATTGGCTGTGGCAGGTGGTGGCAGGTTCAACGACACATTTATATTCATGCCATCTAACCCACAAAACCACTATGGACAATGTTGGTCACGAAAGCCTAAGTGCTTAACTGGATTTTCATTGTAATAAAAAAGTCTCGTTTGAATTTAAATTTGTGTACACTTACGACCTTTGCCGCAATTCATCGTGTCGCCAAATCTCACTGTGTTTCGCGTGCACCAAAGCAGCTTCATGAACAATATAGCACGGAAACTCGAGTCAGGCTACAGAGCAAATACCTCTCGAAGGCCTCGGTTCAAAGCCGGAGCAAGACATGTTGGCACCTTTTTCTTCTTGGTTCTTTCGGTAAAGTCACGTAGAAGGAAAATAATAAAATAATAAAAATACAACATAATTCCTTCTCGACAGACCTGTTCTCCACCTAAAGACGGCTGCTTGCGTTGTGGCCGCAACGTCGTGAGAATTATTTTATTATGTTTCATTTTTATTCTTTTATTATTTTCCTCCTACGTGACTTTACCGAAAGAACCAAGAAGATGAATCCCTGCAGTCACGAAAGCTTTAAATCGAAAAATGTTGGCACCTGTGGCAAAGTGCCATCGCTGCGTCCCCCACCACCCCACCACCCCACCATGGCAGCGATGGCACTGCCCCACCGCAACATCCGAGCCCACGCGCACAGCGCCCACCATTCGGGAGTGGTGCCTCACCTGTGCCTCTCACCCCTTACGATGGCAACTGCCCCGGGATTGAAGGCGCTAGACACGGAAGCGTGGAATAACGGTCGTGCAATGTGTCTTTCCGCATTGCCCTCTACTGCCCATCACGTAGTGGAACAACCACTATATCAATCCTTTTGCATACCCGTCAACCCATACGGGTTGCCCGTACTCTTGTACATGGAAATTGAATTTTCAGGTCCATGCGGCGTGCAGCAGTTTCAATACGGGCAAAAATATTTTTTTGTTGTCAATTTTGTTTGTGTTTCTCCCTTGTGATGATACTTTGTAGGATGAACGTTGAGGTTTATCAGGGCACAGGGTGACCAATAAGGTCTGAATTGGTCTGTAATAAGGTAGGCACTGATAAGGGGTTGACAGGTATGCTATACACTACACTATACACTACACTACTATACACTGCACTATACCTTACCTGTCAACCCATACGGTTTACCCGTATTCTTGTACAGGGAAATTGAGGTTTCAGGTCCATACGGCGTTTCGCCGTTTGAATATAGGCAAAATAATGTTTTTGTCTATTTGTTTGTGTTTCTCCCTTGTGATGGGACTTTATAGAATGAACGTTGAGGTTTATAATGGCATGGGGTGACCAATAAGGTGTGAATTGATCTGTAATAAAGTAGGCAGTGATAAGGGGTTGACAGTTGTGCTTTTGTGCGTGGTGGTCGCCCATCCAAGCACTTATCTCGGCACAATCCAGCTTGCCTTTGACGAGATCGGATGCGTTCAGTGTGATTTGGTCATTCGGGATCGTCAATCCAGAAACACCAAAAATAGGTTTACAAATGCAACCGGTGCAACCAACACCTACATCTGAGGGCTACAATAAACCATGGTGAATATACATGCCACGCAATGTACAATTCTTACAAAGCATCCGTGATGTCCAATGATGTCCAATTGCAAAATATGTCTTTCGTTCTGCTCTTTGTTCAATTCCATGTGTCCAGGTATGTTGTAAATAGAAATTAAATGTCACTGTAATTTGTACGTGTTATTAGAAAAATCCTCATTCAAATATAGGGATGTTGGATTTTAAGTGTTACTGTATATAAATAAACATCATATCTTGATTTCATATACTGTTACATTTTTTAGAACATACCTTTACAAATTTCGATTTAAAGCTTTCGTGACTGCAGGGATTCATCTTCATGGTTCATAAATATGCTAAATTCCTCTTGATATGCAAATTCTTTTGTCAAAGCGCTCTTTTTCCCCCTCCAACCCAGCTTAAATATACGCTCCAAGCTTGGTGGTGTTTCATTCTTCACCTGAGGACGGCTGCTTGCGTTGTAGCCGAAACGTCGTGATAATTATTTTATTATGTTTTATTTTTATTATTTTATTATTTCCCTTCTACGTGACTTTACCGAAAGAACCAAGAAGATGAATACCTTTACAACTAAAGTCAAATAATACGGCCACAACAAACAGCATTTTAATACCAGTTCACGCAGCGGATATGCTAGATATTGTTTATTGTAGTGTACTGAGCACATCACCATATCAATCATGCCATCAGTTTTACAGCTCATTTGATGACAATTGAAAAAGAGATGCAATATTTAACAGAACTTTTTTAATGGGAGGAAGGGGATCGTTGTTATATAGTATGTGTGTATGTCTGTCGGACTTCTTTCGCACCATTCGTAGCCAACTCTATTCATCAGTAACCGACGCGTGTATTGTCAAACACATTATTATTTCGTGATACTCTTTATTATATTCTCGTTCGCGACAGTACCATCTATAATCCCCAAAAAAGAAAACTTCAACTTGGCGGTAAATTAACGCTATAATTTTGACGAAATGCATCGTACAATAAAAATCGTAACAGAACGAGGACAAAATCTGGTCAATCCTGGCGAATAAAAATGTAATGGGAGTGAAATTGACGAAAAACTAGGTCACATCAATTTATACGAGTGTAAGTGAAATCATATGACTCTCTTTTTTCATCCAGAGCAGCGAGTTTTTTTATTTTAGTTTTTCACCTAACACTTCCCTCTGTAGTTCTTGAGCGCGATGTCGTACGCTGAACCTGCCAAGCATTTTGCCGCAATGACATCACAGGAGCAGACCATCTTCTCGCACAGCTTAAGCTTGTCTGTGAAACACAACGGACGATTTTGAGGGAAGAGAATAACAACTCATGTAATTTGAAACACACGTGGACGTATTGCAATTCCGCATCATCCGTACATTTGCGAACATTTGATCGATTTAAATTACTAACTTATTGTTACAGTTATCTATAGGAGAAGTATGTTTCTTTACGGCAATGATTAACGAGGGAGAAATTATCGTGCACTAGTTGGTCCACAGTACTGGGAACCTGGGCCACCTGAGTTTGATTCCAGGCCACGGTCAACATGAGTAGCAAGTGATGCCGAAACCGGTCCGGCCCCCACCCCCCCCATCTCAGAAGCGGTTCACCAACCCGCATTGACCAGAATGGTGAAGTATGGTGAAAAAAAACCTCACGAATGACAAGTGTGGGGAAGCTTTCATTCGCAGTTAGATGTGACAAAGCGCTGTCAATAAACTACATTGCGCATATTATATCTTTAAGTTCTACCTGATGACGGTTGCTTGTGTTGCAATCGAAACGTCGTACTCTATTATTTAATTTATTTTCTTTCTACGTGACTTTACCGAAAGAACCAAAGAGTAATTAATTCGTTGTTTAGCAAATTCAATTGCATGTTCAACAAGAATATTCCTAACATTACCAATAATCATATCATATACTGATATCAATATAAATGCAAAACGTGTAACCAGTGCGTTTTTATAACTTAATACATTTAAAATTCCTTGGTTTTGTTTGGCCTTTAACAATAATAAATAGTGGAAGTGTTAATTTCAGTAAAGATCCTTATAGTATTTACTATTTTAAGCCCCTTTGTTGCCAGTGCGGTGATTAGCAAATTAAATTCCACAGCAAGAGGCGTAAATATATAACTACATTTGCAAACAAAAGCATTGCACACAATTTCCAATATTGTGCAAACACGCTGTGTAATTGGATGCAATTTTAATGATTAGTTTTTTTTTTTACGTGCGTACACTACGGTACACCAAGTGTGTTAACACTGCATCACCAAATGCTCCTAGCATGGGTGGATGTCTTTATAACTTTAAATGCATAAACCTGGTCCAAAAAATCAGATAATACATGTGTTTTCAACTATTGATATATTCCTGTGTTTAACACATGGGCTTTTGCGACCAATAGGATCCATAATATAGGTTTTTTTGGGTTAGATCGCGTAAATATATAAATGTGTCGTTAAACCTGCCACCACCCGAGACAGCCAACTCGTAAGGGTTGTCACGTAAACAGAACATGCCAATTCGTTACTAGTACAGCACACCCGTGTGTTAGAGAGCAAATTCACAACATTTACAATCTGAGTACGACGTTCCGTCAATAATAACAACGAGCATCATCAGTGTATGCCTGTGTATTATTTAAAAGTTATACCAATGTGCATTTAAATACATTAGAATGCAAAGTACAAGTAACACATTATACAAACGATGAACACGAATGAATGTTTCTACATTTTCGCTAAAACAGAGTCATCTTTAGACCTGGTCTTCACCTGATGACGGCTGCTTGCGTTGTGGCCGAAACGTCGTGAGAATGATTTTATTATGTTTTAATTTATTATTTTTATTCTTTCCATTCTACGTGACTTTACCGAAAGAACCAAGAAGACAGAGTCATCTTGACTGCGAACTATATTTTCTACGGACAAAAACCCTCGCTCAGACTTAAGACTCTTTTTCCAGGAGGGTACTGCTAACTTTCACAGTGGCTTTTGGGGGGCAAGGTTGCTATGCTGCGTGTTTCCACAAATTTAATTATTTGACGGTACATTTTTCAAATCTGGCAAATATTGACTGTCACTAGATCTGCAATGTGCACTGTGACGCAGTCGGTGGCGCGCGTGTTCCAGCGGTCGATCCACCCGCAGTATGCAGCGTTTCCCTCGTTATTCGCGACAGATACATTCCGGAGATGCTCACGAATTGCAAATTTCGCGGATAACGACATCGGCCGACGAAATCCTGTCTTTTTTAATTAAATACCTTAGATATGTACATAAATAAACTACTAAATACTGTAAAGTTATCAAAAATAAAGAAAATGGTTAATACAGTTAATAAAGTTAACTTCTAAGTATTAAATACAGTAATAGTATTAATTAACTTACCTTAAATTATGATGATACTGCACATCAGCACTTTATCTCATGAATTTCTCGCGTCGCATTCTCCCTCGTCACTTAAATCTCATCGCATTAACTCATCACTTTCTCACCTCACGCATTCTTCCTCGTCACTTGACCTCATCTGTTTGTCTTTATCTCTCTCTCTCTCTCGATGCAGTCGTCGTGTCGAGTTCCAGAGGCGATTCGCGGAGAGCCAAACTCGCGGACCGAAAGTTCGCGAGTAACGAGGAAAAGTTCGCGAGTAACGAGGGAAAGCTGCAAACTACGGCAGTCGAGGAACCTCCGCCCCGCACGCGACTGCGACAAGCAGCAATCGTGCCACCCCACTAGGCCAAGCCGCTGCCAACGCGAGAACACAAGTGCTGATGAAAAGTCACGTACCGCATTGCACCTCTCCATCTGCACAGCTGTTGGCATAGGCAATGAAGTTGACGTTGCAGCCACGCGGAATCGCGTTGTAGCATTTGTCTTGAGCTTCGCAGCATCTGCGCACACGCGACGCACGGGGCAGACACGGCAAAAGTGCAAATTAGTGCCGTGGACTGTGAGAGTAAGTGCTATTAGAGGACAACGATTAAGGCTGGCACAAGTCCACAATTAATTGGATTGGTCAGCACTCCGCCCAGCTGCCTTTGTCATCCCAGTGTTGATATTCACACATTGCCAACAAGATCGAGATGTCATCATGGTCAAAGCCACTCTATGCGCTGCCGGATCCACAATGCAGCAGGTGCTAGTTTTAGGATGAGGAATGCCCGAGGCAGACTCAAATACCACTCTCCAAATCACGATATACATGTATTAAAACAGAGAAATAAATGCACATCGTTGGTCACAACTTTGAATGCTTACATCGTTCAAGAAAACGTGGCACATTTGTCGACTCGTTTTCACATTCTCCCTATGCACAGCTCGCGCTCGTGTGATTGGAATCATACTCTTTGGTTATTTCGGTACCGAAAGAACCAAAGAGTATGGATCCCTGCAGTCGCGAAAACTTCAAATCTAGATTGATTGGAATCACTTCGTCCCAACGCGCCATTGAGGCTGCACTATTTTGCATGTGCTCTAAGCCAAGCAGTGACCGATAGCCGATTCCGTTGTGAAGTCCCAGCAGTAATGTTGCCATGGTGCGGACATCCTCAATGAAATCTTACCTGTCAGCGTCATCTAGAGCAACGCCATTTCCTCCCCAGCCACAGTAACAGCCATAGTTGCTGTAATCCAATGCACTTCTCCCGGCAAAACACAAGACCACATTATTAAAGCTTAAGGATCGCTTCCGTCTGTGCACTGCGTGTCCATCTCCAGTGGCAAACACCACTGCAAAAAAAACAGAAGAAGCAGTCGAAATGTCATGTTAAACAATATACTCACTCTTGCTACTTTGTAATTCAGTATAGCACACAATGCTGTTCAATGTAAGACAGTATCATAATGGACCAAGTGAAGACTTACATTTAGTGTTGTCCATCACACCAAAAAAAACTGTTTTAGTTATAATTAATTCACAGAGAGACGAATAATTGCAGTTTCTCACGCGTTTATATTAACTATAATGTACAATTATGGTCACCTCATACTTGTTTCCAAAATATCAGGCCATGCCCAGAATTAATGTAGTGTATATAATTCCAGAAGTTAGCTTTGCATCATAAGAATGATTTCTGAAATGATTAATTGCAGTTTCTCACGAGTTGTTTGATCTGTATTTAGAATGAAAGGGGAGATGTAGCTTAAAGTCTGTGTATTTTCGTAACATTTGATCTTATCCCATACGAATATATAGTATTCTGGGCAATGAGGAAGAAATCATTATCAATAAATGTCCAGCGCTTTCTACGTAGACGGTAATTTAGTTGACATTACAATGCTAAAATAAAAACTATTTTGAAAGGCAGTGTATTAATGATTGTAAATAATTGGAAATAATTGACAACCTTCTGTCAATCCAGTGATGGATCTATGTCATGCGGAGATTAACCATACTTCACCCTGCTGATTATTACGGGTTGAAGGTGGGATGTCTGGACCATTCGCATGTTACTTTCTGCCGATGTTAGCCGTTGCCGGCCATCAAGACCCGCGTCGGCGGGTTGTTTTTTTTGTTGCACCGCGCATCACAATTTTAAGGTAGCAACAACAGCAATTGGTAACAGCATCGTTATATATGCGAGGGACGCGACTTTGTTGTGTCAAATCAAATGAAGTGAAGATGCGCCACCTGCGAATATCACGACTGCAACCACCAGCATACGAGCCATTGCGCCTTCAATTGACTTGATGCCACCTGCAGAGGCTGAGGAGTCCGTGTGTTGCTGTTGTTGAGCAGGCACGGCCAAGCAGGTCCAAAGTGGCCCCAACTCCTGCCACAGGCCCCTTTTAAAATGTTGCCTGGTCTCACCTGACCAATTAGAGGTCTCTCTCAGCAAACGCCCAGTCATCAGTGTCATCTGGCCACCAAAGCTGAATAGAGGGACAGATTTGTGGGCATGGGTGGCATAGTTTTAATATAGCTAATGGTTGACCCAAGATCCGGAATCGAGTCATGTTTTGCTAAATAAACCATCGCTAAACCACACACGAGGGCAATTTGTCTCATTTGTTTGCACATCTGTTTACATATGACGGGCTAAGTTAATCGGATAAATCGCCCGGTGACCATATATCGACCGCATCATTTCCATCCGTCATCTCATGACCATTACCAGGCATTATCAGCTCAGTGGACATGGGCAGGCTCAGCGCGGCCCTTCTATTTGCTTTAGTTCTCGACTCTTTTTGTCGTCAAAACAACCGAGAGTGCGCAATAATCAGTAAAATTCATCGACGTCTCTTCACTTTATAAAAAAATATTTACACCAAGATATGAGCAACAACGTCACCGTGAAGTGCGCTTAATAGAATAAAGAAATTGCGTTGAACAGAACAGCGCAAGTATGACTGAAGCGACGAATCTGGTAAAGGAGAGACAAAGATGAAGGGAGTTCATTCAGCCCCATCGTCGTCGCTCATGAGCTGATGGAAATATAAGTATAACCCGTAAAAACAAAGTTTTCACTATAAATCCTTTATATGCGTGGCAGCGAGCTTAATATAAAGGATTTAAAAATATATTCGCCTGTGGAGGACGCGGGGATAGATCCCGCGACCTTTGGCATGGGAAGCGAGGGCGCTACCAACTGCGCTACTCCGCCACGGCCTGTGGAGGGGTTACGCTCTGGGCTCTTACACTGTGACGTTCAGCCAAAGCCATGAATGAGTTATATTTGAATATATGTAAAATATTTTTTTTTGCCTAAAAAGTGTCAAATTTTGGGAATTTTTTTTCACGAACATTAATTGTCTGGCACAACGAGTCTGTGTTGAAAATGTCAGCTCGATTGGATCACGGGAAGTGGGTTAAAAAACGACCGAAAGATTTGCACGGTCGTAAGCAAGCAAGCACGCAAGCACGCAAGCAAGCAAGCATGCGAACTTAATATAAAGGATTTAAAAAAGAAGACAAAAGCCGTGAAGTGTTCAATCTATACATCAAGTGGTTATCCTATGGATATACTGGCCCCACCATGGGAAGGCAGAATTTCGTCCATTGGGGATGAGTGCCACCTCATTGCTCATTCGAGTAGGGCAACGTTTTGGTCACACGTAACGCTGCGGTGCGGTGGTAATGCAGTAGCGCTCTGCACTATGAACCTGACCATCTTGATCGCAATTGCCGGCCATGGCTAAGATCAGATGTGGGTGACATATGAACAGCTCCTCGGCCTCCCCTTCACCAACCTTGCACTGACTATGCTATGTATGTATGTTGAACTTCTGTCGCACCGAAAGTAGCCACGCGTGCCAATCGGTGGAAAGGTCAACAAACTAAAGACAGCAAGCAGTTCTAAACGTATTTGTTTTCAATCTAGATGATTTAAAAGTGCATTGCTGCAGTGGCTTCCCAATATTGGAAAGAAGAGCGTTCCAGACGACCGCAGAAGCGCATCTGAAAGCGCCGCGATGCAGTGACCACCTTTGTTCGATGGCCAGCCAAACGCTGCTGTGAGGATGACCAGAGTCCACGTGATGGTTTACGCTCCTTGATGAGATCAGCGAGGTATTGTGGTTAATTTGGGGCAAGCACTTTGCGTGTAATGAGTGACTATAGCATGTGGAAGTATGGTAACCCTGATGCTGCTCTATTTAAGACCGGGAGCAACAGGAGAGCTTCACCATTCTTGCCCGATGAAGCTGATTGTAATTATCAGCGAAACGTCGTTCTCAAATTTCAAAATGCTGTTGATTCTCTATTCAGCACACCGGTAGGGTAAAGAAGTGAATTATTTTGTCCTTTGAAAAACGTGACACATTTTTTACTGTTTGGCCGTGTCGGGTGGTGGAGGATTACGACACATTTATAAATAATGCGATCTGACCCAAAAACCTATATTATGAATAATATTGGTCGCGAAAGCCTACATGTTAAATCAAACACATCTCATGCCGATATTTGACATCTATAATATTAAAATAATTAATCTACCTCCTTTTGACAAGGATTAACATTCTATCTCAAACAGATACTCTTAAACATGAGTTAAATGATGACGTCCCCCTGCTGATCTATTTAAGACCGGGAGCAAGTGAGGGCTTCACTGTTCTGGAAAATTGCCCGATGAGGCTGGATATAATTACCAGCGAAACGTCGTACTCAAAAATTGTAAATGTTGTGGATTCACTCTTCAACACGCCGGTGGGCTAAAATAGTGAACTATTTGTCTTTGGTCAACGTGACACTTTTTTACTGATTGGCCGTGTCGGGTGGTGGAGGGTTAAGACACATTTATAAATAACGCGATCTAACCCAAAAACGTTTATTATGAATAATATTGGTCGCGAAAGCCTACGTGTTAAACTGACTCTTAAACAAAGTAAAAATAGGCATTGCCTTATACATAATTTACTCTCATGGTTGAATGTGTAATATTGAACTGGCGTAACACCCAAAAAATGTTTCTTAAGTTTTGTGCAAAGGGATAACACTGTTTAAACATAACAATAATTTTACCTTGTTTGATTTAGTTCTTAACTTAAAGTCAAAACAACCTGGAGCTTACCTTAACCATCACAGCATCTCGGGACTTTCCATTACAGCAGAATGTTGAAAGGTAAAGACAAAATCTGCTGATTGTGATAATCCACAAGGTACAGCATTACTGTCATTCTCACGACTTTGACAAGAGGCTCCAACGGATACATTCAAATGCTACTACAATCTCATTCGTCCGAACATTTGTCCCACTCGATGGAGTCCACCAGAGTTCTCTCTCTCTCTCCAGTCGTCGATCTATGGCCATCTTCCACAGGAACGCTGCATGTTCTCATTTCCTCCCTTGAAAGCTTCCTTTACTGAACGCCAACCGAAAGGGCTGCAAGTTGTTTCATGTATAACCAGGACACGTATCATTATTATATTTAACTCTAACCCTATGATATTTATTTTTTTCAAATGAACACATTTTTGTTGTATTCTTAGGTTTTTTTCGGTAAAGTCACGTAGGTAAAACATTACAATTAATAAAAGTAATATAAAATATTTAACTTTTATTAATTTTATTAATTTTATTGTTTTACCTACGTGACTTTATCGAAAAAACCTAAGAATATGAATCATTGCAGTCACGAAAGCTTCAAATCTAGAATACATTTTTGTTGATCAGCTGCACTTGTGACTGAAAAAGAAAACGTGATGTATTTTGTGAAATCGAGAAATGAACGCGGATCATTGGTCACGTTTTTGAATACTTCTTCATTCGTATGTTGTCAACGCAAGTGGGCATTAATTAAATAACATACTTAATAATAAAGCATAAAAGAGCCATTGGGGTAAGCAAATTAAAATGAGGCGTACTTGAGGTGTAATGACATTTGATGGGTGTTGTTCCATCAGCTACGTTATGAGGTTCTGCAGCCGAGGAGAGGGGGCAGCACTTAGAGGAAGGATGAGATTGACAGGGACTCGATGCCCAATTCGCAAATAGGAAGGAGACATTTAGGGCCGTCCATAAATGACGTCACGCGATTTTGGACGATTTTTGACCCCCCTCGTCACACGGCGTCACAAAAACTCAGACCCCCCCCTCAAATATGACGTCACAAAGCTCTGCCCCCCCCCCCCCAAACAATATTTCCATTTTGGAAATAAAACATGCTTCAAATCGCTTTAAACTATTGTCATTGTAGAGCGTATTTCCTAATGTTAGGACGCTGTCGTGAGAATTTAATTGTTTTATTTTTATTATTTTATTATTTCCCTTCTACGTGACTTTACCGAAAGAACCAAGAATATGAATCCCTGCAGTCACGAAAGCTTTCAATCGAAAAAGAAAGCAGACAATACAAGGGCTATACTGAAGCGGTGTCCAATACGTGGGTCGCGTTCCACGGATCTCATGACAAACCAGAACAAGGCACTAACAGAAGCATGCGGTAAATTTCGTTTCGGCTGATGACAAAAAAAATTCCCGACACAATTACTACGTGAAAAATAAATATTCTACCAATAGATGGCGCTCGATGCATTAAATCAATCTGAAAGCAAATATGCTACAATATTTAATCACCACTCTATGACAAAAAAAAAATTTAGTTTTTCATACGCAGACACATTGTGGCAGGACAGGAGAAGAAAACTGTTTTGTACAAGAATCGGAATCAAAGTGACATAAAAAAAGTAGTTTCCCTCGCTTAAACAAATATTGCCGGGGCATTAAATGGGTTAAATCCGGGTGATTGTTGCTGCTCACGGCTTTCTGGTGGAGCTTGTTGAGATTGACCAACATGGAACGCCGTGCTCGGTGTCTTGACCAGAGAATGGCGATACAAGTTACGAATGACATCTACAAAAAAGTACTGGACATCTGTAAACAATAGCTTTATAGATCATCGTCATTCCTCCAGTATAAATACATATTCCGATTCCCATTCTAACATGGTTTCTGTTGATTAATATTCGTGTGTGTATATATAGACTGTGGAACGATTTGAATCGTTAAAAATAGTTTATTGACAATTGTTACCGCAAAGGTGTATCTATTCACACGGTAGCACTGTTGAATTGTTTCATATTTCGCTTACAGATTTTAACATTAGCTATTGGTTTTCTTGTTATCAAATACTCACGAAATGTATCCCAGCGGCAGTGTATGTTCTTGAAGTTAAGACATGACCTTTGTGAACTTTTGTTCACATTCTCCACGCACAACTTATAAGACATACCGCAATGCAATCATTGCATCAGTGAGACTGTTCAATTCTCCTTGGGGTGCCACGGTGGCGAAATGTTAACTACCTTGCCTGCTAGGCAGGAAGTCGTGGGTTCCATCCCTACCCTGACACCTGCATATTCGGAGTTTGCATGTTCTCCCC